AAAAACAAATTCAGGACACTTAGGACCCAAGGATGTCTTAACCAATAGATACCACATTCACTGTAATACTGAGGAAACAAGTGCAATCTTTATTACCCTTCTCGCACAATTTTTCTGACTCGTACAAGCAAGAACCAGCACATCTCATGAATTTTCAGCACATCCACAACATCTGCCTCATACACCTGCCAACACTGTCTAGTGACAGCTAATAATCATTTTACTTAAAAAATTCAAAGGCACATCAGACGTGTCCCCACACAGAGCACTCCCCTGACACAGTACAGCTATACAGGTACATCTCATCCCCTCAAAACACACACTCATTAACTACATCTTCCACCATCGATCCAACAGCCTTCCTTGCTCCCACAAACACCTCAAATTTCATTCCCCTTCTCCTTCCCATCTTTCCCTGTGCTTACCTGCAGCTGTGCTCCAGCATCATGACGCAGTCCCATTTTTCCCTCTGGGAACAGGAAAGGAGGCACCATTCCACTGCCTTATTTACTCCCATTGCTATAGGGGAACATCTTAAATGACCTCCAGGCTTGCAGGAAGAGGAAGGGGTGCTTCCCAGCCCCTCCCTGGCTCCAGGCTTTTGTAGGGTAGGGACCATGACCAGCAGCAGCTGCTCCACATGCTGCCCCTGACTGCAATAATTTGGGTTTCTGCTGTTCCTCCACCTGTAACAGGGCAGCTCATCAGATATGATTTCCTTGCAACAGAGATGCTTTCTGTTGTGAAGTTTCAGGTATCTGGTAGTCAGTGGGAAGCCCACTAACAAGTTGTCTGTGTGCTCAAATTACCTACACTTACACTGTGGCCATCACCGTCTCATCTCGCTCTGGTTTGCACCCTGGTTCCAACCAGGCTCCCGCTTCTGATGTTTCTGGGAAGGTGCCATCAGAAGTTTGCTCCCAGCCAGGTCCTCCACATGAAACATGCCAAGCTCCAAGTCTGGCTGAAGCTCCTGCAGAAGTGCCCAGGATAGTCTTTCTGGCAAAAACAGGAGAGCAAAACTTCTCACATGCAGCTTAAGACATTCCATAACACAGTCACTGCTGCACTCGGATAGCATGGAGGAGACTGTGCTCGGAACAAGCCACGGGCTTGACCTCATGTCTTCCTCCACCCTGGATGAGTGACCCAAACGGTAGTAAACCAGGAGAGCTCTCTCCAGGGTGTGAGTTCTTCCTCTAAGAGAAAAAAACCAAACTATTCCTCTCTCATACTATGTCGGTGTACTCTGTGAGGCCAGGAACCAGCAGGTGAGGCTCTTGGGAATGCCGTGGCTGCCAGGGTGCCAGCATCCTTGGGAGAGGGGACTTTATCCTGCGGAGAGGAGAGAAAGGGCTCTCTCTCTTTACAGTGTTGTCCTACAGATAACACATCCCCTTCGTGTTCAATGGGTTAAACTGTTGAAAACAAAAAGCTTTCCATATTTACTGGTGTAATCTAAAAATACTCTGATTCTGCTGACAGCACAAGCAAACACAGGCTCGCAGAGGCTTTCTTCCCTTGCCGAAAATGGCGCGCGGTGCCCCGGCTGGCTGACACTGCCCCAAGTGAGACGAGATGAGATGAAAGAGCAAGCTCGGCTTCCCACCCCTTCCCAGCCTCGCTGCACATGGTGCCTTCACCCTCTGCCCCACAGCTGCTCCAGAAGGGCAAACCTCAGCTCCCACCCACTGCTGGCCCCCGCTGCCAGGGGGGCCGTATGGCTCAGCCAGGTGATTGCAATGGGCCCACTGCAGATGCCCCGTGAGGCTGAACGACAGACTCGTTAGGTAGCGTAGGACATCCTCTCCACTGCCTCCCCTGTCCCCAAAGAGGCTGTATTAATTCACAATTTAGAATAATCCCAGATTTTACTGCATTTTGGGTATTTTTCATTGGGAAGATATAAGAAATGCTTGATACAATTTTCTTATGTTATGCTGGCATAGCTGTAGGGGCTTTTAGTTTACATCTGCTTGCAAAGTTAGCAGTTTGTGTGTGCTGGTTACACTCTCAGCCTGAGACCTTTTTGGGCAGCTGATTTATTTGGCCAACATCATCCCAGCTGCAGTTTCTGTACCAAGTGTATGATTTCTGGGCTATAGGTATTCAAGTGTCTGAATGCTGGGTCAGGAAGGGAAATGGTTCGGTGCCCCAGCTCTGACGCAGCCAGGCGGTATCAGCTTGCTTGCCTTCCTCCTCCTCCTCCTCCTCCTCTCCACCTCTCTGCTTCCAGATGCAAATGCTTCCATATTCGGCAATGTGCAACTATGATGGCTTCTTAAGGGGAAAACATCTACCTTGGCAAATGCATTTCTTCTGCTTCACATTTTAAAGCATATGTGGACTAGAGGAAAAATACTTCCATTTTGTCTGCTGGCATGTCTCAAGTCTTGTATTTAAAAATGCCAGGAACCTCCCAAAGATTAGCTAATCATAATTAATAAAGAAAATGCACTGGCATTGGAAAATGAATTGGCTCCCATGAATAGGACAGTGGCCTGAAGAGGGAATCAGAAGCCAAGGTTCATGAGATTTTAATCCTAGTTTCTGTATCAATTCCCTGTCCAGAGAGGGACACTTAACTGCTTTATTTGCTTTATTCCTTTCTGAATGGGACTAGACATTAGCTTAGTCACTGTGGTGTTTAGGGGATTAATTAGCTAATTCAGCACCTCACTCTAATGATGTAAAAATCTTAAAAGCCTCACTGGAAGGATTTGAAGCTGTAGCTTAAGAATTATTGCTCATTTACAACCTTTTTTGTAACACATCTTGGAAGAGTTAAAGGTAAGGCGAGAGGGGAAGATTTTCATTTTCATTTTAAAAGGAGACATGCATTTCCATTTGGCAAGATTTTGCATCCTGATGGGAAAACATAAACACCCAGTCTCTGATCTTGCCTCAATCCATATTTAATCTCAGAGAGTGCTGTGGTGTAACTTTGCAGACAACAGTTTCGGGAAGCATGGGGGAATATTCCAGGCTTCCTTCTGCTTTGGAGAAACTATAAAAAAAAAAAAAGGTAGGTGAAGCAGGGCAGAGAGCTCACGTAATCCCACATGGAGGACACAAAAGACGTGGAAGACAAAGCCACAGAGCAAAAGACAGCCTTTCTTTTAACAAGCAACAGGGAGACTTATACAACACCCTTTGGGATTAACATGATTTCCCCTTTTCCTCTGTGCAGACCCTTTTGTTTCAGTGGATAAGGGAGTGAACCCCTGCCTGTGAAAGCTGAGCAGTCAGAGGGCGAAGCCCGGGGGGATTTCTCACACGGCGATGCTCTGCCGTGGGGCTGCCTCCCACCGCCCAGCAGCGCTCACCCACTCCCCCGCCGCAGTACCGCTCCGCGGCTGCTCCGTGCCCGGCTTCGGCGTGCGGCAAAGGGAGCGGGTGGGAGTACGAAATCAGTTTGAGCCAGCGGCAGGAAGACGAGCGGGGTTTTAGGAGCTGGTGGAGTGTTAGGAAAATGCTGGAGTTGAAGCCTGCAGAGGATGGTGAGATTAAAAATAGGCTGTAGCCAGCCTTCCCCAGCATTTTGGCATCTTAACTGCCTGTTCTCCTTTTGACCCACTGAAGGAGAGGCAGCAACGGAAGAGATTATCTCTTCCACCACCCTGGCAGTGCAGGACGAAATGGTATTTTGCTCCTAACCAGATCCTTCTGCTCTCTCTGTCTGGTGAGGTCTTCTGGAAAGGTGTAAACTGAGTGTTTCTTCCCCATCTTCAGTCAAACCAAGGGACTCCCTCCTTCCCCCGAGTTCAACAAGGCACTTGTGTGCATTGAAGATGAGCTCATTCATTCACATCTTACAGGGCGTTCGCAGGCTTCCATCCTTTGATAGGAAAAAGGGCAATTTTTGTAGTAACCACTGGACATCATGCTGCAGGATTTTTAATTCAAGAGACATTCATTAAAGAAAGCATTTCACAGAACTACATTATCCAGTAAAATCCACATTACACCTTTGTACCTACCTTAGCAATCCTGTATTTATATTAAAAAAACCCAAAGACAATTCATAATGATAAGAGGTGTTGAAATGCATACTCAGATCAGGTGACTGAACCTCCTGGCTGACAGCTTGTACATTATAGGGGTCAGAAACAGTTTCTTCTGCTCTTTGCCCATGCTGTGTGTTTCTGCAGGTTGGTTGTGGGACAGACAAGGCTTCCCCGAGCTGCAGGTTTCAGCTAGCCATGGGCCCAGGACATCAGCTGCGAATAAATGATCGGGCTTGTCCAATGTGGTAAATTCAGGAAGAATCTTTGTAAAGACTGCTGTGGTGTAGGCATTTTCCCCCATCTTTAACTTTCATACATCAACGAGATCCTTCATCTGAATCGGTTTAGGAAGTCTGAAGGGTGTTTGCAAGTTGGCCTCAAGCAGAGCCAAGGGCTGCGACGCCAGGTCACCTGGCTCCAGCACTGGTTTAGCTGCCTCTGCTTTGTTAAAACATGCTCTCAGGTAACAACTTGCAACTGGGGAAAGCGTTGTGCAAAGATGCAGTGCCACGTTAGCACTCCTTTTTTTTTTTGTGTGCTCCTTCTAGAGCAGTATTTGTGAATAGTAACAGACTGCCAGAGCCGTACAGCTTTCTAGAGCCGGTCCTGCTCTGACTCTGGGTGCAATTTTCCCTTTTAGAGCTTCTGTGTAGTAAATGTTCTCCCCAAGAGAGAGCCACCAGGCAGAAAAAAGGTAGGCTGGTATTTCCACAGACACACAGCACTCCCTTGTAAACCGCCTACAATGCATAAGTGGTTACTGTTGTGGGGGGGGAAGGAGCCAAAACCCTAAGAGTGTTTTTTCTGTCCTGGTTTTCAAGTATACGTATCGGTGTAATTCAATAGGAGACAGTAGCGTGTTCGAGTGAGATGTGGCTGTGCCTCCATTTGTCCTCCTGTAAAGTGTTTCCAGCTTTTCAGCACTGCAGTGGGAGCACAAGAAGTGGGATGCTATGAGAAGTGGGTCTAAGGGAAGGAATTTGGCACGAAGCCATGGCTTTCACTGGGCATTTTGTTGCTGCTCTCTCCCTAGGAACGTTTGTATCCGCTTTCACCGTGCTGTGCGGAGCCCGGACCGACCTCCCGGACAGGCACATGTGCTGTGTCTTCTGGCTGAACATTGCTGCTGCTCTGATTCAGATCCTGACGGCGATCGTGATGGTTGGCTGGATTATGAGTATATTTTGGGGGATGGACATGGTCATTCTCGCAAGTAAGTACAGCACACTCACCTTCCCGACGTCTCCCCTCCGTGGCCCAGCTAACGCCCCTGCAAGCCATCGGACTGCACTGTAGGGAAGAAGAGCCACAGGACAGGCTCTGCAAGTCCATGAGAAACACAGTAGGCAGAGGAGTTGCTGAGAGGCACTTGGGATGGGCCATCTGGAAGAGCCTCCCATCCCACCACATGGGTTAGGATCTTCCTTTCCCCTTTATAAAATGAAAAGTGCGGGAAGGGGTGAGGCCCCCCAGCACTGTGAACAGAAGGAGCCCCTTCTGCCGTGGCCGCATCTGCGTGCATGTTTGAATGAGACGGCCCTTTCTCCCTCGCGACTCGGGCTGCGTCTCTCCAGTTAGCGAGACCTTCCCACGAGGCCGGTTCTGCTCCCAGGGAGCAGAACCCAGGGCCAGCTGTCCCCAGAAAAGCGCTGGGGACTCTCCTGGACCCTCCCCTTCCTCCCCAAGATACATTTACCCAAAGGCTTTTTTTCATGTTTCACACCAAGTTCTTAGGCTGAGCCAGGACTGTTTAGCTACTCCTAGAAGGATTTCCCCTACACCCTTTAAGGAGCCTCCAAAACATTAGTCTAGGGGAAGAAGAGAGGAATCCTTTTTTACACGTACATAATTTAGGTCACCCAGTTAGTATATATTACCAATCTAGAATACAGGCTCTGTAACTTTATCTGCTAAAGACTTTTACTGGTGTAAAAGTTATATCATATCTGTATCATATCACCTGCATCATATCTCAGAGAATTAAGGTGACAACCTCACCTCGCCTCTAAAGCCAGAAGCAGCCCACAACTCAGGGTGCTGATTGCGTCTGCAAGACCCCACTCCCTTTCCAAGAGGCCGGTGGGCATTGCCCCAAACCAAACAGGTCTGAGATCCTTCAGGCTGGCAGGGCAGGCAGTTCCCAAAGCAAGCGCTTCTCCCAGAGAACTTCTTACCAGCAGCTTTTGCTTTTTGGTTTGAAAGGGCTCCATTTTGTCATCTGTGGCTGCATGACAGAGGAGGAGAGAGGATCTCAGGAAATTGCCAGGCACCTGCCTAAAGATGAAATGGATGAAACTGAAAAAACCAGCAGGAAACCAGTGCACATCTTCAGCTGCCAAACCCAGGGGTTAAACCCTGTCACCAAACCACCTGCTAATTTCTGAGCCAACTTCAATTTACAGGCTGAGTTAAGGGCAATCCCCACGCAGAGCAAACGACAGATATTAAAACCTGAGCATAAGCAAGGCAAAAGGCTTTCCTCAGGACAAAGGCAGCACTGCCCTTCATTTTTCCCTGCAAACCACATGCCAAGTTTCCTCTAAGATGTACCTGCAGAGCAGGGCTACCCCAAGTTATTTCCGAGGATAAATTGTGAATTGGTGTACATCTGTGATGTGTCTTTAAGAACCTGCCCAATTTGTGTGTAATCCCGTAATTATGTGTTCATAACCACATGCTCTCCTGCTGTTTCTCTGCTGGACAGCCTCCGTGCACAGCACACCGCCTGGCAGACCCAGTTCTGCAGTTGTGGGGAGAGGCAGGAAAGCATCCGTCCAGCTAGAGAGCTGCAGCTGAAACCATGACTTGCTTTTCTCCATAGTCCTGTTTGTGTATGTCCTCTGGGTAGAGGGGCTGGGTCTCAGGAGGGTCTCCCTGGTGTTCCAGTTTGGTTGCTGGGAAAAAAACATACAGCTTGGAAGTATCTCCCCAAAGCTCTTCCCCGTGCCTGGCTGGACCCCACCAGTTTGGGAGGCAGAGGGTGGGTGAGCAGCACGTGGTGGGGATGCTCAGGCCAAGAGGTCCTCGACCACAGCAACAGCATCTCATCCCAGCTGCTTTGGTGGCAATAGGGAAGGGTAAGAGGAGTCAACATGTTTTATGTTAACCAGCTGTATGTAATCTAAGTTGCAGCCCCTGGCAGTTTCTTGCTGTCTCATTAAATAGCTGGGTTTTAAGTTTACTTACAATGCAGAGAAAATAATGGCTAAATAAAGCAGTTCTCGGTTGATGGAGAATAAAAGAAAAAACTCATTTTTCAATCAAAACGAAGAACAAAAGTGATCAATTGCTCCCAGCTGGATCAAACAGCCCTGTCAGAGCCAAAATGGTTTGTTTCTTCATGTTTTGTTTTCATGTTCAAAAAAAAGAAGTAATAACTTAAAAATGAAACAACATTTCAGATGCAAGAAATAAGACATTTCATTTAAAAACCCTGCCAGGAAACATTTTGCTTTGGTTTGGATTTGTGTGCAAACAGAAACAATTTGATGCACTGGACAGAAATGGTACACCGTTGCAACTCAAATCTCTATTTAGGTGGGGAAGAGTTAAAAAATGCTAAACCACTGCCCACCTCTAGTCTCTTCCTTGCCGTGAAATGGCTGTTTCCATGCTTCCCGTAAGGGTGCCATACGATTTTCATGGGCTAAAGGCAGGGCAGAGCGGGTGGTGTCTAAGCTGAGGGGGGCCAGCAGCGAGGAGAAGGGCGGGAAGCAGGTGGGGCTGTGGGACTCCTCTCTGGCTTTCCCTGAGGGATGAGTGCCTCCCTCCCTGGATCAGGGCCTGCCTGTACGTTAGCTGGTAGAGAGCTGGGTGGGAGTTAGGGAGGCTTGTTGCAGTTTTTCACCTTCTAGTGTTAATTCTCAGCCATTAAAGGGGAGCCCTGCAGGAGCCTGCTCCAAGGGGAGAGCTTTGGGGGTAATGTTATACTGTCTTCAAAGAGGGGAAAAGGAGAAGAATTATAGGCCAATCAGGTGAAGTTCAATTCCTGGAAGAAGTAATCAAACAAGTTACCTGCATGCATGTAGAAAATAAAAAGAAAGGAAGCAAGTCAACCTGGGTTTGTCAAGAGCAAGCTGTGTCAGACCGGCTTGATGCCCTTCTGTGGCAGAGGGGTTCATTTTGTGGGTGCGGCAGCAGTCAGCCATCCCTCCTGACTTTCAGGCGCTGACACCGTCTCACACAGTGTTCCTACCAGCAAGCCAGGGAGATCTGGCCTGGCTGAAAACGCACTTGAGAACTGTTCCCTAAATGCATTTTCCTGAACTAGAAAGATCTAAGGAGAGGTGTTTTGAAAGGGCCCTCCTGAATCCAGCTCTATTCAGTATTTTCTTTCCTGGCTTGACGATGGACCAGAGAAAGGGCTTACCAGCCCCGCACCACCGTCGGCTGCAAGGATGGCAGGCACAGCGAGGGCAGCGTCCGGATTCAAGCAAATCGAAGAAACAGTCTGAAAAAATAAATAAATGCTGCTCAGTAGGGACAAGTCCAAGACACTAAGGAAGGATTAATCAACTGCATAAATACACGCTAGGGAACAACTTGTTTTTCAGAGAAGGATGTGGTGGCTGCAATGAGTCACAAGCTGCACAGGAGTACATTGCTGTGGAGGGAACAAACACCGCCCAGGCAGGTAGGAGCAGAGCCTGTAGGACATAAACTGGTCCCCTCACTTTTCTCAGCACATGTAAAGCTGCATCGAGGCTTGTGGCCAGCTTTGGAGGCTGTAGTTCAAGTGGACAACCTGGAGAGAGTCCAGAGGACCATGAAACAGCAGGCAACGAAGAGAACAGTAAATGTGAGAGGGAAGCAGTTTAGCCTAAGACAGACTTAAATTAACAGCAGGAAAGATCCATGTGGAAATTAGGAGACATTTTCCCTCCAGTAAGGTCAAAATGCTGAAGAAGCATCATGGCAGGATCTGCCCTCTCTGTCACTGGAGGACCCCAAGAGCGGGAAGACCCACGTCTGTCAGGAGCAAGCTGGGACACAGGAAGAGAATGACTGACCTCGAGGGGTCCCGTCTGGCCTTCACCTCCTGAAAAGTGCCCTTTAGTGAGGTGAATCCCAGAAAGAAGATTAATTGAATGCAGTTTTACTGTCACGCTTTATTTTTGGCAGCACCATGGCATGGGGCATTTTCTCTACTAATTTAAATGAATTGCCAGCTGGCCCCATTAAATGCCACAGATGATACCTTCTTTAAGCAGCCGTATGGCTTTGGGAACCCTTTTTCGGTTTACCTGCTGTCTGAAGGCAAAGGTAGATTAAAAGGAAGCACTTAATTCTTTTGCAAAAAAAATAATCTGGACTCTCCCCTTGCCACTGCAAATATCCAGCTGCCCTTGGTGGTGACTGGGCAGTGCTGCCGCACCGAGCTCTCCTCAAACCCCTCCTCACAGCTGCGGGGACGAGGCACGGAGCTGAGGCAAAACAGAGCTAATTAGCTGGCCAAGGCCAACTGGAAAATGAGCCTCCTAAGGCTTTCCGGGCAAGTTTCCCCCCACTAAAGGCACACCTTGTCCCCAGCCCACGCAGCACATGTCTTCATTAGCTGCATCGTGCAGAATGAGCACAGAGGAATGGCCTTTCCAGGAACTCCCTAGCTGCTCAGAGCTCGTTACAAAAGGTTTTGTGCCATTTCTTGACAGAAATACCACAGAAATCAATATAGTAATGTCGCACTGAGGTGGCATAGGGGACAGAAGTCAGGGACTGTTTGTCCAGGCGTTGTTTCGCCTCTAATGAATGCAGCCAAGAAGTCAAGCTTGGTTTCTGAAGGAAGCCCTCGCTCAGCTTCTGGCCTCTGAATTAACGACTTGCGTGGGCGCGCCTATGAACGAGCAAAGGTGCCATTGCTTGTGGTTTCACAGGACGGGGACTCCTGCTGCAGCCCCTGCTTCTGCAGTGGGCAGCTGACTCTCAGGGACTGATTGCCAGCCAGTAGTAAGAAATTACCCATAATCATGCTGTCCACTTGTCATTGCTTTGCTAATTACAGCACTCAGACCTTGCCAGAAGGAGGAGCAGATGATTGCATGGTTACTGTACGCTCTGGCTCTGAGGGACATTGGAAAGCATCACCGAGCCTCTCTTCTCTGCAGGGCCCCTGCTAGGGCAGGTAACGCAGCTGCCCTGGGAAGGAAAGGGAGCAGAAAGCGCTTGGGAGACTCGGAAGAGAACAACATCCTAAACCAGCCAGTTTCCTTCATGAGATGAAGGAAATTCTGAGGACAAATTGCCCGCTTACACCTATTATGTGTTTTTTTTTTTTAAATCTAAATAGAGCCGTCCCCCAAACTATGCCTGTGGAAAGTAGTTAAAACTACCCTGTGCAGTTTCCTACCAAATGCTGTGGTAGGGTAAGTTCTTAAAAATATTGTAGGAATGTTAAATACCACCAGGGTTTGCAGCACCCAGCCGGGCTGAGGCATGCTGCGGTTGTGAGTTATCTGTGGGCACAAGCAAACTCAGCAGCAAAACTGCCAAAAAGCCGTCAGGTGTAGTTTTCCCAGCTCTTGGACCGTGAACGGTGTGCCATGGACCATCCGGCATGCCGTGATGTCTTGTTTGCTGCCTTCCTTCAGCAGTTCCCCTTCGGTCAAACCTGTGAAATAGCGATGCCATGGAGGAAAATGTTTGTGGGAGCATCACTCAGAGGTTTTAGTCCATCCAGCCTGTCCGGCTCGGGGCCGGTGAGCTGGAAAGCAGATGAGGATTCCCCCATCCTCTTTAAACAAAAGCCTCAAATGAAACAACCTACTTCAAGTACAAGGATTTTAAATAATGTTTAGCCCTGGTGTGAATGTCTGATGGTAGAGCAGCTGTTCTCTGTTTACTCTGCAGCCCCGATTTATTCGTTCTTTTCTGGTTCTCCATGTGTTTCGGATATATCGTCTACAGTTACATTTCTCCCTCTCTCTCTCTTTCATGTTCCTTTGCCTCCTTTTGTTCACCATCAAAGTTTCACAAGGTAAGTTTGTTTCTGTTCTTCCTCCTCCTCCTCCTCACACCCATGGCAGCTCCCCAGAGAAGCGAGCGCTCGGCTGGGACAAGCCATTGGGGATTCGCTTTGGCCGGCGCTGCCCGCTCCCCACCCAAGTCCAGCCGTGTGCCTGTACGTGCATGTCCGCCTGTCTCTGTGTCTGTCCTGTGGTCACACAGCCCCAGGGACGTGTTCTCCACCCAGCGTTGAAATGCCCCTTGGGCACCCTCGGAGCAGGGCAGGGACCCGTTTCAGCCTCGAGAGCATCCTGAGGCCACCCTCCGCATGAACCCAGTCCCGGTAGGACAGCCTGTGCACAGACTGGTTTCTTTTTGCCTGAATCTTATTTGCAATGGTTTGCAGAAGAAGTGCAATTTCACCAAACTTGATTAAATCAGT